CTTTATGTTACCCATTTTAACTACTTCATAGGTCTGGGAGGTGTTGTGCCAAACATAAGATAAAGTCACACAAAGGATATTTGCCGAATACTCATAGAACTCACATGGAGATATAGACAGTTCAAATTTAGATAACTGTAACACCACAGAAAGTCTGCAGCAATTAGAGAGAATTCGGTCCTGTGCCTTTATTATTGTTAATGTAAAGGTCCTTTTTTTTATCAATCAGTGTCTGTGTGTACTTTCTATAAACAAGATTTAGATGGATGTAGAGGATATACATACTAATTCTGATCTAATTAAAGCATTGAATGTGTTCCTTAGAGCTACAACGATTATTCGAATGATGTGTAGATTTATCGAAAAATAATCAACTACCTGGAAAATTATTCAATTCAAAGAGAATGTTTATATAGCTCCTATCACAGTAGATATTATCTCAAGGCACTTAATACAGTAAGGTTGGAATTACAAATTAAAATTATAGAGAAACCCAAAAGTTCCCACAACGTGCAGCACTGACGTCTGTGGTGAGAAAAACTCCCTTATAAACTGGAAGAAACCTCTGGCAGAACGAGACTTTATGTTTAGGTAAGTGGGGAAAAATAGGATCTCATCTCAGAACAGAAATAAACTCGGTTTTCAGAAAAAAAGAAAAGCTGTCTCTGTAAAAGTATGGAACACATGAAAAATTTAATATTTAAACACCGATGTGGAAAACCTAAAGGTGGGTGATTCTTTTTTTGACTAAATATTCTCCTCTTCAACATGTTTGAAAAAAGTGTTTAAGAAGTGTTATCAGTAGCATGTTTCTTCGAGCGTGTGTATCAGTGAGACCATGATACTATGGCTCCCCTCCACAATAATGATCAGAGGTGGCAAAAGTACTCATGTACTTACTAAGTAGAAGTACAGATACATGTGTACAAAAATACTCTGGTAAAAGTAGAAGTACTCATTCAACTCCTTTACTCAAGTAAAAGTAAGAAAGTGCAGGCTCTGAAATGTACTTTCAAAGTAAAAGTAAAAATAAATTTTTGCTGTTAATGAAACACAATACATCCTTTGATAATTTTGTTAAACTAAAAAAGTTCTGACAGAATAATCAAGATAGAACTGACCAGAGGTACTGCATGAGCATCTGGATAACTGTTGACAACTTTGGTACTCTGAATACTATAGGTTGTTTTCTTTTTCCACTGCAGCACAGCCAAACTGTAATCAGTAATAGTTATGACCAGTATGCCATATTGGATGTTTACACTCATAATAACAAAAGACCAATGTTATTTTCTACCTTTTTATTTTTTTCTGTACTGAAAACTTACTGAACCGTGACCCCAAAACACACATGTAATGGGATCAAGCATTACACACAAAAGGCAATGAATGCATCCAAAGTGGATTTTGACTTTAAAGTCAACAATATTTTTAGTTTAACATGTTACAGATTAATCAGGTTCTCCTGTTCTGCTCTGTTGTTCACAATAAAACAAATCAACTGCTTCTGTGACATATCTCTACAACAGATGTAACCATGGCATGAATGTGAACCCATGGAACTCATTACACTGTTATCGCACTGTGAAATTATGTCAGCCGAATATAAACACAAGTGTAACAGGTACATACTGAACCATGAAAAACTTTTAACAGAATGTGTATCTTTTACTATAAATCGAAAAACTAGCAGTTTGATGCCTTACTTTACAGCAATATGCAAACCCAGATTTCCATTTCAGAAAAAGAACTTGAAACATTATGATCATGGAAACTTCAAGTCCAATCAAGTCTTTTTTTTTTTTGTGCAATTCACTCACCTCTACAAGACTACCAAAATCTTTTATTCAGCCTCAGCAGAAGCTGGTTCTCAAAGTTCTTTGAATCAAGGCCCTTTTGGGTCTGAAAATCAGCCCTGCAGTGCTAAAAAGCCTCTCGCATGCTGCTGAGGCAGGAAGGGGTGTGTTGAGTTTCAGTGATAAGTTGCAGACTGCTGGGAAAGACTTCAGGACATCCATGGTATCATCTGGGCATGCCAGGTAGGAATCTAGCTGCTTGGAGTTTTCTTGTACATTTCCCTGCTTGATGGGGGAAAGATGTCATCCTCCTCTGAAGAATGGAAGCTTCTCCTCCCGTGTGTGTGTGTGTGTGTGTGTGTGTCAGCCGGCGCTGTCCCAGCACGCTACTGCTGATAAAAGGGGGGGGGGGGGTCATTAGCAAACACAGTACACCTATACACAATCAGACTCTCTCCCTGGCACCAATCACTGAGCCACCTGCCCACTCTCTCCCTCCTGCCACCGACACTAACCACCCCCCACTACCACACAAATGTTTCATTACATACCAAGTTTTAGGGTGTAGTCATCATTTGTCCAGCATGTCCTGAATCTGGGGATGAGTGTGGCCGCAGCAATCAGCTCTGGATCAGCAAGCATCTGCCCAAATCACCTTTCAAGTCCAGCTTGAAGAGCATCCACTAAAGGCACACAGAACTTGGAAGAAAGTCGAAGGTTCCGTAGCTTAGTCTTGAGAAGTGTTAATGTGGGCACCAGCCATCCCATCTGCACGCTGGCCTCTCCCTGAAGAAGATCAACTGCCTTTTCAAATGGGCTCATTGTCTTGACATATTCTGCGAGAAAAGCAATCTCAGCAGGAGTGAACCTATCAGGAAACAAAATTTAAAACACATCTATGGTTACAAAAAATCAAAAATTTAACACATGACTTTTGCATAATGCACACATGTAATGGAATTAATATTAACTAATTAATAATAATAATAATAATAACAGTGTGAAAGTGTAAGCTACTCACATTGGAATTTTTAGTACACTACACACAGCTGTAACGGCTCGTTCTCCTTGTTCTCTCATGATCCTCACAATCCTCTCCACAGCCAGTAAAATAGATATCCACCATGTCTCATTTGGCCTCAAGAGCTGGAGTTTTCATTTTTCTTCAATTATCTCAGCAGCTGTAGTGGATCTTCCACTTTTGTTCCATAGACTCCAGCACTTTGAAAATGCTGAACAAGAGATTCGCTTGTAGACGGAGTTGGAATTTGCCCCTGAAACATCAACTGTTGACACCAGGTTCAGAAGGTGGCAGGCACACCGATGGTGCTTTGGCAGTTGGTATTCCAGGCCATCATCTTCTTTCAACAAGGTTCCTGCTTCAACAAACTCAAGATGGTTAATGTTTTCCTCCTCTTCCTCTCCTTCACTGTTCTCTCTTTCTGCCGTTTCACTCGGCCTTGGCTCCGCAGGTGGAATCTGGTTATTATTTTCATCTGGCTCTCCGTACACTCGAAAAGCTTTGATAAAATTAGAGCCATTATCAGTGGTTGTACACACAATCTTGTCACGGATGTTGTACTCTGTGTGGATGTCATTCAGGGCACCAGCAAGTGCAGAAAATGTGTGTGACCCTTTGAGCTGTTTACATGCTAATGCAGCAGAGCATCTGTCCATTGTTTCAGGCTCTATCCAGTGTGCTGTGACTCTGAGGAAACTCCGTCTGTGTGCAGTCCAGCAATCAGAAGTGGTAGCAATGAATTCAACCTCACTCATAGCAGCCTTCAGATTCTTCTTCATTTCCAGTGTTACTTTCTCAACTTTGTTTTTCATGGTACCTCGGGACATTACAACCACATCCGTTTGCAGGTGATGCACTAGAGTTTTAAAACCCTGCTGTTGGAC